GTTCTGCTCCAGGTTGTGCAGCTGTCACCCGTCGAGCCGCCCAAAGTCGTTCGGCAAACACGAGTAGCCCGTAGTGCATCGGTGCTGGTGTAGGCGCTGGCGTGGGTGCTGGCAGAGCTGACGTCAGTGCTGGCGTCGGCGATGGCGTAGGCGCTGGAGATAGTGCTGGCGCCACCGCAGGCGTTCATGCTGGCGTCGGTGCTGGCGTAGGAATCGGCGTTGGTGCTGGCGCCAGTGATGACATAGGTACTGGTGTAGGTGCTGACGCTGGTGCCGGCGCAGGCGCCAGCATTCGTGCTGGCATCAGTGATTGCGTCGGCGCTGGTGTAGGCGCTGGCGTCGATGCCGGCGCAGGCGCTGGCGTTCGAGCTGACGTCAGTCAGTGCTGGCGTCGGCGATGGTGTAGGCGCTGGACCTGGTGCTGGCGCCATCGCAGGCGTTCATGCTGGCGTCGGTGCTGGTGTAGGCATCGGCGTTGGTGCTGGCGCCGGTGATGACATCGGTGCTCGTGTAAATGCTGGCGTTGGTGTCGGCGCAGGCGCCAGCGTCCGTGCTGGCGTCAGTGATGGCGTCGGCGCTGGTGTAGGCGCTGGCGTCGGTGCCGGCGCAATCGCAGGCGTTCATGCTGGCGTCGGTGCTGGCGTCCGCTCTGGCGCAGGCGCCCTCCGACTCTGCGTTCCACCACCCGCCACCTCTCCTTCTCCCCTGCTCCTCTTCCTCCCGCTTCTCCTGTCTCCTCCCCCCCCCGCCACTCCACCCTCCTCCTCCTCCTCCTCCTCCTCCTCCTCCTCCTCCTCCTCGTCCTCCTCCTCCTCCTTCACCTCCTCATCCGCGTCCTACCCATCCCCTTTCCCATCCTCTTCCTATTGCTACCCCTGCTCCCCTCCCCTTCTCCATTCCCCTGGTTACCCTCCTCCCCTTCCTCATCACCATTCCTCCTCATCCTCCTCCGTCTCCTCTTCCTCCTCCTCCCTCTTCCTTCTCCGCCTCGTCCTCCTGCTCCTGCTCCTGCTCCTGCTCTTCCTCCCTTCCTACCTCGCCCTCCTTACCCTTCTCCTCCTTCTCCTCCTCGTCCTCCTCCTCTTCCGCCCTCCATCCCTCCCTCCATTCCTCCCTCCCTCCCCCTCCTCATCCTCCTCGTCCTCCTCCTCCTCCTCCTCCTGGTCCTCCTCCTCCTCCTCCTTCACCTCCTCCTTCTCCATGATGGGAACTCCAAGGCTCCCACACGAAGAACTGAAATCTCACTCATCAAGACGTGCTAGAACCCCACATGGCCTGCTATGTTCTCGATGGCCCATAATGCATATTATGGCTAACCTTTCGTGGCTCTCCCACATTCAGCGTCACGAGGCGTCGATCTCTACACGGGCAATGCAGGAGCAACGCCACGATTGGATAGCATCCAGAAGGCGGGTCTGGATCAGTGCAATTTCGGTGTCGAGCAAAATTTTTGCATGCTCTGCTAGGGGCAAGGTATAGAGATGTGCCCTCGCAGGTGAACTTCTTGAATTGGTCAGGGGAAGACACAGGCTCCCCAGCTGAGCTTCCTAAGTTCTGGAAGAAGCGCATTGGGGGGGGGCGCTCCTCCTCCATCAGCATCCGCATCCGCATCCGCATCCGCATCCGCATCACCACCATCATCATCATCACCATCATCATCTTTAATATGGTCATCGTCATCATCAGCATCAGCATCAGCATCATATTCATCCTCATCGCCTCATCACCGTCATACTCACCAACACATTCACCACCATCACCGTTATCACTAGTATTGTAGCATCATCATTATTCTCGTCATCATCGTTACCAACATCATCATCACTATCGCCATCACCAACACCATCATTATCATCGCCAACATCGTCATCATCATCAGCATCATTCTCGGCATCGCCATCCGCATTAGCATCATAAAACTCATCATCATGATCATCATCATCATCATCATCATCATCATCATCAGCATCAGCATCATTGTCCTCGTCGTCATCATCGTCATCATCATCATTACCAACATCAGCATGACCATCATCCTCATTTTCGTCACCATCATACAAATCATCAGCAATACCATCACCAACACCGTCACAACCATCAACATCATCCTCCTCAACGTCATCATCATCAACATCATGAACACCGTTGCCACCTTGCAACCGAATCATCCTCCTGATCGCCGATATCGACATCAGCATCACCACAATCATCATCATCATCATCATCATCATCATCATCATCATCATCGTCATCATCATAATCATCATCGTGGTCATCATCATCATCATCATCATCATCATCATCATCATCATCATCATCATCATGATCATCATCGTTATCATCATCGTCATCATCATAATTATCGGCATCACCATCATTAAAATCGGCATCATCAATATCAAGATTGGCATCCTCGGCATCAGCATCAGCATCAGCATCATCATCAGCATCAGCTTCAGCATCAGCATCATTATCATCGTCATCCTCACCTTTGCAATCATCACCTAATCATATTCACCATCATCAACATGTCAGCAACGCCGTCCTCATCAAGACCATCATCGACATCATCAGCATCGGCATCATCATCAGCATCAACATCACCAGTATCGACGTCGCCATCGTCATCGCCATCGTCATCGTAAAGGTGAGTATCAGCATCACCATCATCATCATCAACAACATCGTCATCGTCATCATCGTCATCAACGTCTGCATCAGCAGCATCACCTTATCAACATCAACATCAGCATTACCATCACCATCAGCATCACCACAATCAACGTTATCCTCATCATCGGCATCTTCAACATCAATCGCGCCATCAAGGCCATAATGAATACATTGGTTGGCCGCATCCTCATCAGAATCGCTATGACCATCATCAGAACCGTCATCAGCATCCTCGTCACCAGCATCGCCAATACCATCATCATCAACACCATCATCGTCATCAAAGTCATCATTAGCATCGTTATTGTCATCCTCGGCGTCAGCATCAGCATCGACATTACCATCAGCATCAACATCACTGCCATCACAAACATCATATTCAGCACCCGCAACATCACCGTCACCATCATTATCATCAGCGTCGTCATTGTCATCGTCACCATCGGCATCATCATCAGCATCATCAGCAGCATTCCCACCTCCCTCTTTCATCACCATGAGCATCATCATCCTCATCATCATCATTATCAACATCAGCATCATCACCATTACCATCAATAATGTAACAACATCATCATGATCGCGGTCACCATCATCACCATCAGCATTCATCAGCATCATCATCGTCATCATCGTTATCATCATCAAAATCAGTATTGTCCTCCGCGGCATCAGCATCGGCATCAGCATCGGCATACTCATCCTCTCCTTCATCGTCACCCTCAGAAAATATTCGCATCATCATCCTCATCATCAGCAGCATCATCTTGAGCATTATAATATTCGTCATCAGCCTCAGCATCGTCGTCATCACCAGCATCCTCATCATCACCATCGGCATCGTCATATGTCATAGTCATCATCTTCATCCGAATCATCAGCATCAGCATCATCATCAACATCGCAATCATCATCTATATCGGACGGCATCATCATGAATTACCGTCACCATCACCATCATCACCATCAGCCTCATCATCAACAAAATCAACATCATCATCAACATCAGTAGCAGCGTCACCGTTACCATGCATTTCATGACAGCATCATTATGATCGCAATAGCCATCATCAGCAGCATCTCATCATAATCATCGTCCTCACCCTCCTCATCATCAACAACATCACCATTGTCATCATCGCCATCGCCATCGTCATCGCCATGATGATCATCATCAGCAGCATCATCGTCGTCGCGACCATTATCATACTCACCAGCTGCATCGTTAACATCATCGTCTACACCATCATCATCAGCATCATCATCATCAAAATCAGCATGACCTTCACCACCACCACCACCATCATCAGATGTTATGCGTATTAGTCTGGTTTCCCTTTCATCATCATGATCATTATCAATATCAGTACCATCGTCATCATCAGCATCGTCATCGTCGGGAGGGGAGGGAGGGAGGGAGGGAGTGAGGCCTCTGGGCCCTGGTGGCTTCATCGCTCGCTCGCCTTGCGAACTTCAACTCCGTCGTAGCCGCATCTTCCCGAATTCTTCTTCTCCACCGACGACGACAGCGGTGAGGAGGAGGAGGAGGAGAAGCTACGCCATCGACGATCAGAGGCAGCGGTCTGCCTGCTCGTCCGTCGCGCCAGGGAGGGCGTTGGTCCTGCCCGGAGCGCAACGTCGTCGCCGGCATCGTCGTCGGCGGCGGCCTCGTCGTCGTCGTCATCGTCACCCCCGTCGTAGTCGTAGTCGCCCTCGTCGTCGTCGCCCTCGCCGTCGTGCTCGACGCCGCCATCGCCGCCGCAGTTGCCGTCGTCGACCTCGTCGCCCTCGTTGCTGCTCTTGCTGTCGTTGTCGTCAGGACCCGCCGTCCGACCCTCCCGTCAGGGCCGCCCGTTGGCGCGGCACAAAATCCGCCCGCCCGCTGCAATGTCCCGCCCGCCCGGTCCGCTTGTAAAGGTTCGCCCGTTTGCCCGCCCGACCCGCCCGTCGTCAGGGGTTGCAAGGCTGTCGGATGACCTTCCAGCGGTCATGGAGGGTGGGAACTCAGCTTAATTACGCGACGCAGTCGCTCCCTTCCATGGCGTCCCCTCCTCTCCCCCTTGGGCTCTCACGTGCACTGCCTCCAGCCTCGTGATTTGTGACTCCATCCCGACGAGCTCTGCCTCTGGGGGCACGTTCGCTCGCCAAGGCCACCGAAACGCGACAAGCAGCAGCCAACATGTCCCAGAGGTGGGGCCCGACTTAACCCAAGGGGGCTCTTCGGACGCACCCCTCGTCGAGGATGGACGCCCGCCCATCGTATATCCCAGGGTGGGCCCCCCTCCCCCTCCCCCTCCTCCTCCTCCTCCTCCTCGTCCTCTTCTTCTTCTTCTTCGTATTATTCTTATTATTTTTCTTATTATTATTTTTCTTCTTCTTCTTCCTCTTCCTCCTCCTCCTCCTCCTCCTCCTCTTCTTCTTCTTCTTCTTATTATTATTCGTCTTCTTCTGTTTATTATTATTATTCGTCTTCTTCTTCTTCGTCTTCTTCTTCTTCTTATTATTATTCTTCTTCGTCTTCTTCTTATTCTTCTTATTATTATTATTATTATTCTTATTCTTCGTATTATTATTATTCTTCTTCTTCTTCTTCTTCCTCCTCCTCCTCCTCCTCCTCCTCCTCCTCCTCCTCCTCCTCCTCCTCCTCCTCCTCTCCTCCTCCTCCTCCTCGTCCTCCCTCTCCTCGTCCCTCCTCCTCCTCCTCCTCCTCCTCCTCCTCCTCCTCCTCATCCCCCTCCCCTCCCCCTCCCTCCTCCTCCTCCTCCTCCTCTCTCCTCCTCCTCCGCCTCCTCCTCCTCCTCCTCCTCCTCCTCCTCCTCCTCCTCCTCCTCCTCCTCCTCCTCCTCCTCCTCCTCCTCCTCCTCCTCCTCCTCCTCCTCCTCCTCCTCCTCCCCTCCTCCTCCTCCTCCTCCTCCTCCTCCTCCTCCTCCTCCTCCTCCCCTCCCCCTCCCCCTCCCCTCCCCCTCCCCCTCCCCCTCCCCCTCCTCTGAGGGGCGAAGGGGAAGGGAGCGAGATCGGCCCGCGGTGGGGCCGAGGTCCGAGCGGGTCAGAGTCGCCAACGGGGGCCGCTCATCGTAGAAGAGCTCCACGCTCCAGTGTTGCTCGCAGGCTCGTCATGGGGCGCTCGCCGACGCACCGCGCAACTGGCAGACATCTGCGGTTCTGGCAGAGCCTGGCGCCCCTCGCCATGCCTGGTTGCCACAAACCCCTGCCTGGAACACATTCTGTTGCTATTCGCGATAACGACCGTGACCGACCCCGCCACGCTCCCTCCCCCCCTACCCTCTGGTCACTTCATAATTCGCGCCAGAGCCGTCCTGGAATGAGCCATTCTTGAGCATCCCTAGGCGGCGCCGGCGCGAAGCGTGACGTGACCGGCCCATCCCTCTCACGCCTCCCCCCCAGTCACGCGCGTTATCGCCATGGGATGATAGAAGCAGCCTCCTGGTTGTACGATGCTTGGCGTGCGAGCCTCTTGCGGCACACCGGGAAGGTCACCGCCCCCAGCGGCCCCCAGCGCGGCCAGCGGCAGAGAAAAAGCCCAAAGCAAAGAGAAACGAAAATAGGGAGCCCACAAAGGACGTACGCGCCCAGCTATGTACATGAACACGGCCCCTCGATTCGCGAGACCGGCCGCGTTATACGAACATTTGTGCAGTGCGTGCTCTCGGAACCAGCGTGGATTCATGTACATGTATATACGTCCTTCTTTCGCTCCTGAGAAAAGAGCCCCGCAAAACCGACCGGCCGGGGCCCTTCGGCAGTCGCCGTCGGCAACCCCGCTTCGGCGGCAGTCCGCTCTGGCAGAGGTCCGCTCTGGCAGAGCCTCTTCGGCAGGACCGCGGCAGCAGGCGCCGCGTCGGCAGGCGCCGTTTCGGGAGGATCGTTTTGGCAAGGGCCCGCTTCGGCAGGAGCTCGCTTCGGCAGGAGCTCGCCTCGGCAGCGAGGGAAATGCGAGCATGAGTTGCAGAAGGAAGGGTAGGAGGGATGAAGGAGAGGGGGAAGAGGAGGGAGGAGGGGCATCAGATGGGCGATCAGGGGGCGCGACGCGGCGCATGAGAACCAAGATCGACCGTAACTGCGCAGCCTGTCTCCCACTAGCCTAGCAATGTTCAGCATGCTTGGCAGCGGCGAGGGCGGTTTGCGTCTGGTCAGAATTCACTGCGGTGCCGTGCACCAGCGTTGCTTTGACCTTATGGTATATATGGAACGCTAAGACACCGAAGCGCATGGTGTCTTTGCGGCTGCTTGCGCATGAGGAGCAGGATGAGGAGAATGAGGGGGGAACGGCAACAGGACGATGAGCAGCAGCAGCAGCAGCAGCAACAACAGCAGCAGCAGCAACGCGAGACGGAGGCAAAGCCTGCGCATGTCATGAGGTGACGGAATGGGCGGGCGAGTCGAGCGGGCGTCCTTGAGGTCGGGGCGGGCGGGCAGGCCCTAACGGTCGGGCTGGGCGGGCGGGGCGTTCAAGCGGGCGGACGGGATATCAAGCATGCAAGCGAGCGGGCCCTCAGCAGAGGGTAGCAGGCGGCAGCGCGGGGGCAGCAGTCGGCGAGGAGGGGGTCCTTGCGAGGGGAGGCGGCGTCCACGCCGAGCGCGGGACGGGGAGCTGCTTGTGCCGGCGGCAGCGGCGGTGCCGGCGGGGGCGGTGACGACGACGGCGGCGAGGACGAGGACGAGCCCGACGGCGCCGAGGAAAGGGACGGGCCTGCTGGCGCTCTTCCGCTCCTCTTTCAGCAGGGCCTCTCGGGGGCGCCGCCCTCCCGCCTTCTTTCCTACAGGATGATGAAGATAGAGGGCACGATCGTCGGAGAGAGAGAGAGAGAGAGAGAGAGAGAGCCGCCACCCCCCTCCTGATGGAAGGGCAGGGAATCGGCACGAGCACCCCGAGAGGGAGGGGGGATGGCCCGAACGGTCTGTTGCCTCGTCCCTGCGCGCTGCCGCCGTGGGGACTCGGCACAGGTGGTCAGCAGGAAGAATTAGCACCGGGAGTGAGCAGGGGGAGCTCACAGGGGGGGGCAGTGTGGGATCGGCGCAGAGTTGGTAGAGGAGTTGCTGTGGGGCCGGCGCAGAATTCGCAGAGGAAGTCCCGCCAGCCCTTCAGGGCGTGAGTGGTTGAGCGGGCTTCGTCGTCCATCTTCCCTATTCCCCCTCGGGGGGGGTTCATCATTGCTCCTTCTGTACAGACACCCCCTCCCCCACCCGACTGTGGGACAACCCAGGACATGCCACTCCCCCCCACCTCACGCTCACCATTACCCCGTGTGGAAACGACGGAGGGTAGAACCGAAAGGCGCGCGAATCTCTTAGGGTGACCTTTCGCCTGGAGAAACAGATTCTGCTTGTATGCGGAGGCCTTGGTAAGTAGTGTACCCACATCCAAAGCATTGAGCGAGTCGCCCCCTCCCTAGTTTAGGCCCGCATAGGGCAGGGGGGGGGGGGCGAGCCTATGCCTGGGTGCCCTGCGCAGGGCCCCAAACCAAAGTGCAGGGGGAGGGTGAGGAGGAGGGGGTGCAGGGTGAGGAGGAGAGGGAGGAGGGAGATGGGAGGACAAGGAGGAGGAGGAGGAGGAGGAGGAGGAGGAGGAGGAGGAGGAGGAGGAGGGGGAGAAGGAGGAGGGGGAGGAGGAGGAGGAGCAGGATGATATATTCATATATATAGACACAGTTAAACGCATATATATATATATATACATATATCATATATATATATATGTACACGTACGTACATACATCGATATACATATATAATTATATATATGTGTATATATAAAAACATATGTATCGGAGGTTTGGGGGTGAGATCGCAGTGAAGAGACCCCCCATCGGGAAATCGGTTTCAGTTTCGTGTTCGTGTCATACGTGCAAGCGACGCGAAGCTGCGCTTGACCCTCCTGTAGCTAGGCCGAAGTAGGAGCGAAAAACCGTTCCCGTCCGCCGGTGGCTGGGAGGTGTCCCGGTTGAGGCAGTGTCCTGGGTGTCCTGCGTGTCACTAGGAGCGAAAGACCGTTTCCCGTCCGCCGGTGGGCGGGAGGTGTCCCAATTGGGCCGGGCAATGTCCCCGGCGTCCCGGGTGTCCCGGGCGTCCCGGCGCTAACGCATGTCGCTAATTTCATACTTCATTTTTTCCGAGAAAGAAAGAGAGAGAGAGAGAGAGAGAAAAAAAAAAAGATAAAGAGAGGGGGCGAGAGAGAGAGAGAGAGAGAGATAGAGAGAGAGAGAGAGAGAGAGAAAGAGAGATGAGATCATGGTGACTGGCTGGAGGTCAGTCAGGGTGGGCATTTGATCTCTACCCCCCCAAACCTCCTTATCGCCCGCAGGGCGGTCGTAAATGTATATCTATACGTGTGTGTATATATATATATATATCGGAACGATGAATTGTTGATGGCGATGAAGGCAATGGCGATGATGGCGGATGCCGACGACGACGACGTGGAGATGATGTTGCTGTTGACGATGACGACGACGAAGATGGTGACGACGACGATGATGACAAGAGTGACGATGATGACGACGATGACGATGACGATGCTGATGGCGACGATGTTGTTGATGGCGATGATGACAATGACGAGGATGGCGATGCTGACGATGATGATGATGATGATGATGATGATGATGATGATGATGATGATGTTGATGATGATGCTGATGAGGATGCCGAAGATGATGACGATGCTGCTACTCCTGATCCTGATGCTGATGACGACGATGCCGATGGTACTGGCAATGATGATCACGAGCAGCCCGAGACGAGGGCCAAACAAGCCGAGGCACAACTCATTTTGGCAGTAGGCAAGACAACTCCAGCATGACCCCAATCTGGCCAGAACATGGTCCCAACATGGCCCTGACTGACGAAGCTCCTTAAACTAAGCGTTGCAAGCCAGACACACACACACACACACACACACCTCGCGCTAACGCTGCGAACTGGAAACCGCCACAGCGCACGTACATGTCGAGCTGGACAATCCAGAGGGGTGGGGGAGAATCATGCATGATGACGATTAAGTTTCGCGCGAGGCCGTTTGGGGCGTTTTGAAGCGATTGAAGTTGTGCGTGAGGCCGTTTGAGGCGTGTTGAGGCGATGCAAGTTTCACGTGCGGCGTTTTGAAGCGATGCAAGGGCGCCCTCCTGAGAGCTTTCGGGGTCAGGACACTGCACGCCCAACCTTCATCGACCTCGAGAACTGATGGACAACAAGATCAGAGGAGAGGGGGGGGATGAATAGAAGAACGGGAAGTAGGGCGAGGGAGGAGGAGGAGGAGGAGGAGGAGGAGGAGGAGGAGGAGGAGGAAATGGAGGAGGACGCTTCCCTCCCAACCCTCCCACTTCCACCCTTCCCACCTCTTCCCTCGTTCCACGCCCTCGATCCCCCCCCCGCATCCTCGTGCTCCTCCTCCCCCTCCTCCACGACCCCCCCCCCCCCCACCTCCCCCCCTCCTCATTCTCCCCCGCCTGCCTATCCCCCTCCTCGTCCTCCTCCTCCTTCTCCTCCTCCTCTCCTCCTCCTCCTCCTCCTCCTCCTCCTCCTCCTCCTCCTCCTCCCCCATCGTCCTCCTGCTCCTCCTCGTCCTCATTTTCCGCGTCCTCCTCCTCCTCCTCCTCCTCCTCTTCCCCCTCCCCCTCCTCCCCCTCCTCCTCTTCCTCCTCCTCCATGAGGAGGGGCGGAAAAGGGGCGAGGAGGAGGAAGGGGGGGTAGGGGGGATCGGGGGGATGGAAAAGGAGGGGTCGACGGAGTCCGCGTCGCCCCTCCCCCCACCCTCGTCGCCACCCCGCCACCATCATCGTTTTTCCTCTCGTCGATATTTTGGTTCAATCGCAAGGCCCCGCGTTTGAAGGCAGGGCGCGGGGCGCGGTGGGCCGCGCGCGGCTCTGCGGCGCCACCTGCTGCTGCGCCCTTTTTATGTCTGCGGCGCCCTGTGTCGGCAGGCGATTCCTCGGCGCGATGCCCGGGCAGGTCGCGCTCGTGATCATATCGCCCCAATCCAGGCAGGGCGCGGCCCCGATGCGATCCCTCGAGCGCATCTGGCGCCCCCGCCCCGCCCCCAGCGCGCGCGCCGCGCGAGTTGACGTCGCCCTGGCAAATAAGCGCGGGACACCCAGATTTCCGTCTCAGCGGCCCGACGCGACGTCGAGGCCGCGCGGCCGCGCTCATCCACGGGGGCGGCCCGCCGTTCCTTGGCGTCTGTGATTTGGGGGCTTCCTCGCGCGTGACCTCGAATCGCCCCGTCGCTGGCGCTGCCACGTCGCCGCGCGTTGTCGGGGGCGCGGTTGACTCGGTCACGGCGGCGGGCGGCGCCGTCGGGAATTTCGGCCCCTTTCGCTGCGATGCCCCCCGATTATCGCGTCGGGCTTCCGCGCGCTTCGCGGCCGCCAACCCCCGCGGCGCGATGCGCGCCTTCGCGGGTAGAAGCGCCCCCGATGAGGCACGCGCGAAAATAATATACGCCGCGGGGCGCAGTCAAGATTGTCACGGTTGCTTTATAGGTCGTGGCCCGCGCTTGCGTTTGGGTCGTTTCACGCTCGCGGTTGGGCAATCACTCTGGATGTTAGGGGTTCGCGAATTCTGCGCTTGTGTCGCGCCTTTCATGATGTGTCTTCGCGCGGGCTAGGTTTTCTGGTGCGCCTGCGATTCTAGCGTTGGCGCAGCCATGGCCGCCCTCCTCCCAGAGTGGGAGCGACGGGGCGATCGGCCATGTCTTGAGCGTGTCCTTTGGGGGCAAACTCTGTTTCTCTGTTCGGGCCTAATGCTCTTATTAAGGTCTGATTCATGTATGCGCTGGAACTCTGATTCAAGACTGGCCCTCTGCGCCAACTCTGATTGAGGTCTGACTGGAACTCCGATTTAACTCTGGCCCTACGACCCAAGTCTGATTTAGGTCTGACTGGAACTCTGATTTAACTCTTGCCCGAAGACCCACGTCTGATTTAGGTCTGACTGGGAACTCTAATTTAAGTGCGATTATACTTTGGTTCGGGCGTGCCGAAACCAATGTCGCAGCGCCGGCCCAGCGCGCTGCCGGGTCGGCCCTGCGCGCGTGCGTCTTCAAGAACAACAGAAGGACTGCGCTAGCCGAGCGGCGGGTCATGGCTGGGGGCCCAGCCGCCAGCTGCCAAGTGCTGCGAGCTTGGCCCGCCTGCGCACGCCGCCCTACGGCAATGCTAACGCTAGGGCCTGCGCGGGGGGCACGGGGCAGCGCCCCCCGTCTGCGCGCCCCTGCCCAAAATTGCTCCACTCAGCGAGGGGCGAAAAAGGCCCGCCCGAGGCTCGCCCCGCAGGGCTGCCGGCTGCCGCGCCGCGAAAGGATGCGCGGCGCGGCGACCGCCCCAATCCCCGCCGCCCGCCCGGGACAGACCGGGGGCAGGCAGCGCAGAGGAGAAGCGCCGCACTTTTCGGAGGGCTTGGGGGCGCGGAAGTGCCCTGGGCGGTTCCTGAAAGGCTTCGGGAAATGGCAAGGGCCCGGGAGGGGCTCGGAGGGTTCTCGAAGGCGGACGTGGCCCGGGAAGGCTCTCGGCGCGGTTGGGGGGAACGGGGCGAGCTGGAAAGGATTGCTCGAGGTCAAGAGGAATGTCGAAAACCAAACAGGGCTTTGAAGGTACACGGGGGGTTGGCTCGGGCTTGCCGGAGGGCGCCGGAGCGCTGGGGCCGCGCCCGAACGCTCGGAGGCGGCGGGCCTTGGAGGGGCACGGATGATGGCGTCGAAGCATTTTGGGCCACAGCGGGGACTTCTTCTGGCGCGTCCGGATGTGATTTTTCCGATCTGCACTGGCAGGGGGGCGAACATGTGTCAAAATCGGCTCGCGTTGTAAGCGGGCTGGTTTTGCCCGGCAGTCGCCGGGCACTTTCGCTCGCTCAGACACGCCCCCCCCCTCCCGTTTTTTGCGCCGTCAGCGGGGAGGTCGCGCATGATCGGATTAGCGGCGGTTCTTGCTTCGTGGTGTAGAGCGGCTGGGAACCGAGAATCGCCGCATTGTCCCGCGCTGGCTCGGAGACGCGGGGGCGGGCGGGGGGGTTCTTCATCGGCGTCGGGGGCGGCGCGGGGCCCCGTGGAATTCCCAGAGCTCCGGCGGGGTGCGAAGGGGCCGGGCGGGATTTCAGCGGGGCAGGAACTGCGGCTTGGGGGTCGCCCCCATGCTGGCGCGGGCGCCGCCAGGGGAATGCTGCGGAGGGGCCTTCGGCGGGCCTTAAGGAACCTTCGGTTATCTTTTGGGCCGCGCCGAAATTGTTTCGAGCCGTCTGGCGCGATGGTGCTGTCGGGCCACCCAGCGCATTGGCAGGCTGCTCGGGTGGGTGCATCTGGGCAGCGGTCTCGGAAACGCCTCGGCGCCCCCCGGGGCCCTTGGGCGGCTTTCCTGGGCCATTTGGGGGGCCCGTTGGGCGGTCGACAGCCTCGGTGCTGTCTCGGAAGAATCTCGGAGCAATCCTGAGTTGTTTGGAAGCCCTCGCTGGCCGTCTCGGAGCGATGGAGCGGGCGAGGGCGCGAAAACCGCCGAATAACATAAGGAGCGCACATGGCGCTGCTCACCAGGATTCCCGGGCAAATTCTACGTTTTTGAAGGGGTCGGGCTGGGCAGTTTTAAAACGGCACCGGGGCTGCTCGGGGCCCCCGCGCGCGCGTTCGAACCGAAACTTTGGGCCCTCGCGGGGGGGGCGCGGCTGTTTTGGGAAGCCATCTTGGGCAATCTGGGCATTTGAGCGCGAGGTGTGCGCGCGCGTCTACGGTTCGGCTGGCCGGCTGGAAGGCCGCCCAGAATCCGTTGGAAGCGCCGCGCGGGCGGAATCTCCGCGAGCTCCTGGGGCGACGATCCTTTCGGCTCTCAGCCCATCCCGCCGTTTAAATAAATATATATATATATATATATATATATATATATATATATACATACATACATACATACACATACACATACATACACACGTACAAACATACATACATACGCATGCACAAACATAAGAATGAATATGAGGCCCCGCGGGTGTTTGGGGGGGCTCTTCGCGGGCATCAAAATCTTATTCCGGGGGTTGCCCGGAGGTTTTTCGGCTCTCGGCGGCCTTTTAAAGGGCGCTCGGGCGATCGCTCTCACTATCGGGGCTCGTCTTCGGGAGGAGGGCCCTTGGGCCCCTTTGAGTTGTATCCTCTGGCCCCGCCTTGGGGGCCGACCAATTTTTCGCGGTGGCCGCCGGGGCGGTTCGGAACGATATTATATGATTTGTTTTCTGCATTGTCCTGGGCGCTCCCCAAAGGGGTCCGCCGCGCGACGTTGCGTGAACTTTTGGGCCGGCTCTGGGGCCTTCGAGGGGGGGGGCCCGCCCCTCCTCCTCTCCTCCTCCTCCCTCCTCCCCTCCCTCCTCCTCCTCCTCCTCCTCCTCCTCCTCCCTCCTCCTCCTCTCCTCCTCCTCCTCCTCCTCCTCCCCTCCTCCTCCTCCTTCCTTCCTCCCTTCTTCCTCGGGCCGGAAATGAAGGCCCAGGATGGACAGGGCGTCCGGCGGCGGCGCGCGCCTTCTTGCGGCGACGACGCCCTGCGAAAGCAAGCGGGGGCTCGGAAATCCAAGCGTGGCGAGGGGGGGGGCGCGGGGGGGGTGTGAGGAGGTGCGGGGGGGGAGGAGGAGCAGGAGGAGGAAGAGGAGGAGAAAGAGGAGGAGGAAGAGGAAGAAGGAGGAGGAGAAGGCGGAAGGGGTAGGAGGAGGGGGAAGGAGGAGGAGGGGGAGGAGGAGGAGAGGGGCGGCGAGCGAAGAGATTGGGAAGGGCGGCGCCGAGGAGGGTGGAAAAGACGCAGATCAGAGGGGCCGAGAATGAGGCGGAGGAGGAGACAGGGAAGGATGGCGGGAGCGATAGCGGGCGCGAGGGCGGGAACGAGGTCGGAGGACCGAACATCAGGGCCCAGAGAGGAGGTGTCCCGCCATCCCCCAGGGTCGCCGTCCACGACTATGCGGTGATTCCGCTGGACAAGAGGAGGACGACCCCAGAGGACGCGCGCTCGCTTCCCGCCTTCTTCCCCTGCGCCCGTCCAAGCGCGCGTGGGTCTCGTTTGAGAATGCGCACTGAACGCTGCAGCGCCATGTGCCCATCCCCGTAGTTGGGGGCAGCCTCTGCTGCCGTGGCATTCGCTTATTCCCCAGCGCCTCTGGGGGTGCAGGAGGACCCTGACATCCTAGCGCTGCGAAGAAACAGCGACGGGAGGCTTTTGGTTTGTTTCTCGGTCTCCGGGGACCCTTACCTGGCCTTGGGACCGTCGAGCCACAACTCGGGACGAAAAGCTGGTCCCAGGGGAAGGGTCCAGCCCTGTGAGGGGCCCACGTTGCGACAGACGCAGTGGCGTCGGATGTCTGGGGGGATGTCTGGGGATGGGGCAGGAGTGCGTTTCGAAAGGGGGGGCGAACGACTGCGGGACGAATCGAGGTCGCCTTGGGATCCGCCAGCACGGCCGAGGTGGGGCCCACCAATACCCCGAGAAGGTCCCGAGAATGCTCTAAGAACGGTTCGGGGTAGCCTCTGATTCAACTCTGCCTGGCGGAGTTGGAAGCATTACTTGTCGGTGCCCTCTTGGGGCCTTCTCGGGACCACCGAGGCGGACGTAGAAGGCCTTGCATGGCCCCAACAGGGTGCCCCCAGTCCCTCCCAGCCCATCCCGTCCCATTCCACTCCCTTTTCCAGCTCTTCCCGTCCCATTCCCTCATGTGCCATTCCTGCCCCTGCCTCACCCCCCCCCTCCCTTCGCTCTCGCCCTGTTCTCGCCCTTCCACCATCCAATATTTAATATTTCTGCATTCGCCCTGCAACCGGTAGCGCTGCGGGGCCGTCTTCTGGGCAAGCCCTATCCCTCCTCCTCGTCCTGATGTACCTCTTCCCATGTATATTCCGTGCATTCGTGCATTCCCATCCTCATCATACGCTTCTTCTTCTTCCTCATGCTGTTCCTGCTCCAACTCCTTCTCCTCCAGACCGCCCCGGGCACCGGTATTGGTACAATTATGGGCTTCGAATCGCGGAGTCGCCAGTGAGCAGAAAACTGCACCACACTTTGCAAGCTCTCACTCGCGCCCTCTGCTGTGCTCCCGTAGCCGTCGTTGCTCCCGCGTTCTCGGCGACGCCTGCGTTCTCTGCTGCTCTCCTTCTGGAGGCGGCAACGGGGTCTGAACTGGTTGGGGCCCCAGAAAATCGGTCAGGAGGGGGGCATAAGTGATAAGTAGGATGAAGGCGAAGTCGAGACAAGATCAGACCGATCTAAATCGGAAATCTTTGAACATCGTCGGTTTGGGGCCCCGCGGCCTTTTCGGAAGGTTCGGAACGTCCAGGGAGAGTTCTTGAACTTTCTGGAACAGCGGCTGCCACAGCGACACGCTATGCCTTGCGAGCTGATAGCGTACCGCTCCGCTTGCATGGCGCGAGGCGCGGAAAGACCCGAGACGTTATTGCCTGGGGACCGCGACGTGGTTAGCGATTTGCGCCGAAACATGGTGGGCCACAGCTGGTGGCGGGACACGCTGAACCAAAGTTCCTTACCGCTGTTCCAGGCATCCGACGCTGTGATGCTTTCACAGAATGGGCCCCCAATGGTCTGGACCTCTTCCCCGTGACCGGCAATTCATTCCGAACCATTTTTTAATGTTCGCAAGGCCCAGCGAGGGCCCCCAAACCCGAACATGTGCAAAAAACCTTCCGTCACGATTGTTCTAGAACTTGAAGATATGAGGGTATGTGGAGGGCCGGCAAGCCCGGCCATTTGTGTCGGCGGCCACTGCGATCCGAGCAGAGGTATGGCAGCGAGAGGGCGAAACGAAACAAAGCAAAGCGTGGACATAAAAGGGAAGACCGAACGGACGAAGGGCTGAATAGGGGAACGGGTCCACCTGGACTGCTGAGATCAGCAGCGCCACACAAGGAACCAAACCTTTTTTTGCGCCAGCAACGACTGAGTGCACGAAAAGGGCTCGAAAACCAGCCACGGGAGGACCCGAAGAGAATCGAGCCTCGTCCAAACCCAACCTGCTCTTGCGTCCTGGCTGTAGCGCGCGGCGAGGGGGCCCACGTACACGGGCGCACGCGGACAAAGCACCGGACAAGCACACGGCCACGCGTGCTGCGCTGCCCGTGCTGGCTGGCCACGCCGCGTGCACAACGCCCCCTGGCAGGAGAGGCCGTCACCAAGGGGGATGTCCCGCCCCGCGGCTCGGCCTCCAGCACCTCCGTCTCCGTGAAGTTCTCCTCCGGGCCGTCGTTGAGCCACCGCGCGAAGTCGTCCAGCGTGAGCGCACCGTGGGGCGGGAGCCCGATGTGCCTGTGGATGTGCACCTGTCGGCGGCCCCCCGAAATCCAAGCATGGCATTGTTGTTCGCACCGGGCCTCTTCGACCGGGCTCGGGCCCCAGGACCCTCACAGATCGATTCGGTTCGCAGAGTGCCACAGAATGACTGGGTCTAGGACACGCGTCGCGGTGATTTTGACGATGTCTGTGGCGACGCCGGATCTCAGGAGCGGCCGCTGGCAGAGGGATGGTGCCACAGGGGCGAGCCCCAAGGCGAAAAAGCCTGGCCCGCCGAGCATACAAAACTGCTGGGGGTGTTGGGGGGGGCAGGGCAAAGTTCAGTTACTGAAGGGAACGAGCCCATTAGACATGCAGGGAAACGGGGAGCAACCCCAATCAAGGGGGCTCGGGGCAAGGTCTTCAAGGTGTCCCACCCTGCCTGCCTGCTGCTGACGATGCAGCTGCGCGGGGAGAGGGGGGGCGAGGAGGGGCTAAGGAGAGAGGTGGTTATTGTTGCTCGCCGCGGGGCTTTGACCGTGGGAACTCCCTGCCATCGTTTCGGCGGGAAGCGAATGGGCGGCACAGAACATTGCTAGCGCCAGCGGTGCGAGGTCGGTGGGGCGGCACAGAGACAATCGCGAGGCACCGAACGCGGCGCGTCTCAATGCGGAATGGTCGATAAGAAACGTGCCAACTTAATTCTGCGCGCCGGGCCGCTTAGTCGTCTAAGATAAAGGGGGGAGAGAGAGAGAGAGAGAAAACAAAAAAAAAGAGAGAGAGAGAGAGAGGGAGAGAAAACAACAGCAACAACAACAACAACAACAACAACAGCAGCACCAACACCAACAACAACAATAATAACAACAATAACAACAGCAACAACAACATCAATAACAACAACAACAACAAACAACAACAGAGAGGGCCCGCACGGCAGACGGGTCTGCCCCAGCTAGACGCTGGACCGCGTGAACCGCTCAGTTGTGCCCTCGGTTGTCGCTCCAGCGTTTTCGCTGGTGTCCAACGTGTCGCTGAACATGTGCAAAGCGCCACGGATGCCACTCCGAGAGCCTCTTGCTCCATCGCCCATCGGTAGTCGCCTGCATACTTTCCCAGGTCTGCTGTTTGATGACATGACACCCACGCACCCATATCATGCACGCCAGACTGTTCTGCGAGGTCTAAAGCGGCAGTGGTAAAGCGTTTGATGTATTATACCCAACATTCATCATGGCACCTCCTTGTCCCAACAACCATCATGAGCATCATTCGTTGGGTGCGTTGCAGATGCCGCCGCTGGTACATCACAAGTGCCCACGCCCCAGAACTGCACACGGCACACGGTGCAACGGATGTCTGAAACAACGGCGTGCGATATTGCAGTTTGACACGCCAGTTGCATAGCGTGAACTTGTGCGCTTGCAAGCGCTACCCAACCACACACAGTTATGTGGTGCAGCTCGGTGTCATGATATGAGGCGACCGAACTTTTGCGACCTAGCCGCTTCTCTGACCCACCGTGTTGAAGCACGCGCAAAGCATGCCCCCCAAATCGTCAAGTTGCTGGACTATTTTCGGTGCTCGTCACAATGCTTGTTTTTGCCCGTGTGCACTGTGAGGCCGTGTCCGCGGGCCTGTCTCCAGATCCACAAGCATAGTTGATGCGTCTCTGGCAGACGACGCGGCCAGCAACACATCATTAGCGAATCTGAGGTTGGTGAGAGGATCTGCAGTGCTGGCGATGACCATGCCGTACTGCGAACTGGTACGATTTCTATTCCGACTTGCCGAACGCACTTTGGGCCTCCTGAAGACGACCCACATGACGACAACGAACAGGAAATAACTGATCGGACCGCCATGTTTGACAGACACCGCGCGATATGTATGCTGTCCACTCTTGCCACGGCACATGCTGACGAATTTGTATACAAGCGCTTGAGCAAATTGATATGTCATGTTCCACGCTCTGCTTTGCCAATGCCTCCCACAAACTATCACGTTCTACCGCGCCGCAGGTTTTCTCGGAATCGATCATGCAGATCCACAGCGGCGTACTGATCTGATTACACGCCTCTACCAAAAGCGTGGTGGTGATCAAGTGGTTCTGGTTCCGTCGCCTTTTCGGTGCGCAGCCTGATCCGCCGACCGCTCTCTCGCGATGGTAGGCCTCCGCGCCCCGCGTAACATTATACTGAACAGCTTGTACAACATCTCCAGTCTCGCAATGAGGAAGTAAGTTTAAGCAAGGCGAAAAAGAAGTGAAGCAGTGTGATGCGCGCTCTGAGCCAATTGTGTGTTCATCCGAAAACGGAACCAAAAGCTCACTGAATGCGTCCAACAACATATATCGCAAGACGGGGGGATACAGCTTGATCATGTACGCTCTCACACCAGAGTCGCCTGCGGCTTTATGCAGCTGCAGCTGCCGAGTTGCTGTTTCCAGTTCTTCTATGCTGAACGGCAGCACGCGGTTGACACCAACAGCAGAATTTGTGATTGGCGACTGATTTGGCTGGGTGCTCGTGTACAGGTCCTCGTGAAACTGCGCAAACACACATGCTATCCTGCTTCGCATGTACCAGCGTGCCACTATTGTCCGTCATCTCGATTATGTGGGAGTTCATTCGCCCTGTCGCAATCGAAGGCATCTGCATAACATCGCGAATTGCACGCACCATCTCTTCAACTGTGCCAGTATGTTCCGGCACCCTGCGATTACAAATCAACGATTGTGTGTTCCTACCCATGCTGAGCCTCAATGATCTTCCCCGCCGTATGAAGATCTGTATTCGCGACGGCCCGCCGGGCGTCGATGAGGCGACGGGCTTTGGGAACTTGCATCAAATAGATCGGGTGTTCTGTCGGTGTCCGGGATTCGCTGCTTATCTTCAGCGGCCGCCTTGGCCATGCAGCGATTCAAACTGATGATGCGCTCTGTTGCATTGCACTCTTGCCACGCCATTTCCGACATAGAACTTTCCTTATCTAGAAGGGTAGATGCTGCTTGGTTGTCATGGCTTCGCCCGTATCGCCAATTTTTTCACCGCTTCATGAGAGCAGAGTCCAGCACAGCGAGCTCCACGAACACTGACCAGTGGTCAGGATCGATATCCACGTCGGCAACTACACAAGAATCCGACGTCAGGGCAAACGTCCGTCTGTCCAGCAAAACGCAATCGAGTTGTGAATGTCGTGGCTCATTGCGGTAAGTCCAAGACGGCCCGGCGCATGCCGAAAAGAAAGAATTCGCAATAACAAGATCTTGCACCGTGCACGTTTGTAGTAATAACGGCCTTCTGCCTGTTCTGTCAGCCGCATAGTTATGACCCATCGCTCTGTGATCGTGTTCCTCCTGCCTGGCGCTGACTTCTGCATTGAAGTCGCTGGAAATCACGATCCCGTAGCCCTTTCGCCGTGCATCTTGGCATTTCTTCCTAACCTGAGCATAGACTGCGTCCACCTCTTCATCGGCCACTGTCCAGCGTGTGGTATGTACAGGACTACGCATCGAACGGGATTCAAGGATAAGGCGCAAAGTCCAAGGTAGCAATGCGGATGGAGGGCGCTTTGAACATCACGTGCTTCCAGCGTCGATGCAATAGGAAACCCACATCACAAATTCGAGATGTCCCCACACTTTCAAGCCAGTGATATCCATGTTTCGTATCCCCTACCTCTTTCGTGTCCTCTCTCCAAGCCTCTGCACATGCGATGATATCCCGGCTGCGACCATCAAGCTCGGCTGAACAACGGTCCACACTATCATGAAACAACATGAGAGAATGAACATTGTACGTGACAATCGTGATTCTGGCGTGGCGTGACGTACGCAGACGCACACGTAACAGTAATGGGGCACCGACCGCGACAACAAGCGAGCACCCGCCAGGCAATGACAACGACCGAAACAACATTGAAACTGATGCTCTGGATACGCCAATCGTGCATGACGCAAGCGAACACGGTCGCTGCCCTGGGCTCAGGCACCTTCGGTAAGACATGACCAGGCATGAGTCCTGGGCCAAAAATGGCTCTAGATGGGCTCTCTCCTTTTCCGCCCCGTCAACCACGAAATACCGTCAAAGGCCGTGTTCGATACTTCAGGCACTATGCAGAAGGCACCGTGCAGAAAGATCGCCAATAGCATGTTGCGAGCAACGCGGCAGAATCCACGAACCACAATTGAATAACAAAGAGTCGCGCGACTCTCATGCGCGGAGCTGCCCTGCGCTTCACGCCATCCCATCCTCTGCCATCCGAGTCAAAACACAAATATCCCCTCATCTCATCACCATGCGTGGCGCCATGGCAGGACAAGCGAATCTCCGAGACCGCTTCAAAAACTCTTGGCCCTGCATCTTTAAAATGTTCAACAGCTGCACATAGTGAGGGTAAGCAGGATCAATCAGCATCGAATCGGCAAATCGGGTCGAATCGAGATGTGCGTCGGATCCGGCTGCCTCGCCACGGAGTCGAAATCGCCGCCAGGATGCACAACAGCGCCATAAAGCAATTGGACCACACCAAATCGACTGTATACAAACATCGGATCGGATCGGGCCAGCTGGAATCGATATCGAATCGGGTCGGTCGGATGGACATGGACCCTGGGCGGGTCGTTTTCAATATGTGGCTCACGTCTCAGCGCCACACAAAAATTCGCCTTCAAGGCTTCCAGCGTTACGCAGATGACGGGCGGCTCGTTCGCAACACGTGGCCCTCGCGCCACGCACGTGCGTCTTAAACACTGCCAACACGTTCAAGTATGAAGGCGGGTTGCTTTCAAGATGCGGCTCCCCATTTAGCACCGCACGCATGCTTTCTAAAAGCTTCCAGCATTCCAGCATGTGCGTCGGTGATCGGCAGCCCGCTTCCAGACTGCGGCCATCGCCCGGCGCGCACAGTCGCCTTCAACGCTGTGGCGAGCGGCTCCTCCGCAAGGTGGTGCTCTCGCTTGCGACTTCTTCGACGCGTCATGTGGCCCGACGTGCAGAGCTGCACAGCCGCCGAAAGCATGGCGGGCGGCTCCTCTCGACCAAAAAAATGAGGTTCTCGCCCGAGGCGGCCTCGACGGATCGCACCCGAGATGCGCAGGCTGCCCCACAGCTGCGCGAGCGGAGGGCGGCTCCGCATTCAAGGCGGGGCTCCTGCCGACAACCCCCCCTGTGCGCTAGATGCTGCCAGCTCGCCCTCCTTACAGCCAGAAGGCCGCAGGGCATCCCTCCCTCGAGCAGATGAGAGAGAGCTCCCGCCTCCATGGCAGGCGCGTGGGGCACTCGTCCGTCGAGGGAGTGCCCCCCGCAGCGAAAATGGGGGCCTGTGGAGTCTCCCTGCGGATTGGCACATCCTGGGTCTGCTCTGGCCCTGTTCCTACCCAGCCCCCATGATCCCTTCCATCGCTTGTTCCATCCACCTTCGCTCCGATACATCCCTCAAACTCGTTCTCTCCATCATCGCCTTCATCTCTCATCTCCGACTCCCTCTCTCCCTCTCTCCCCCTCCCCTAGTCCCCCATCTTCTTATCATCGTTCCTCCCTCCTCAGCCCTCTGGGCCCTTGTTATGATTGCAATCGTCCTTCCAATATTCTGCCATTCCCCAAGTCATGGTCATCCTCCCCCTCCCCCCCTCCCAGCCCCATCACGCTCACCCAAGACTCTTCTATCTCACACCCTGCCTCCGCACTCCCTGCATCTTCTCCGCCCTGCCACCACGCTCCCCCCCTGCCCCCCTATCCCCTATGACTCCTCCCTCGTCCCCCCGCCCTCCCTCCTCCGCACTCCGCTCTCCGCCACCTCTCTGCCCATCCGCCTCCGTGCCTCCCTCCCGAAGAAGGCGGCGGAGTGCGCGAGCACCCACTCCGCGTCCCAGTCTCCGGGCGACCCCGCAAAGCCGCACTTCTTGGCGTACTTGTAGGTCTCCGCCTTGCTGATGGCGCCTCGAGGGGAGACTCGGATCCAGGGTCGAGGAGGGTCCGTGGCTGGAGCATCGGAGGAGGGCCGAGGCGGATCGAGGAGGAAGAGGAGGAGCGAAGTCCACCGCTGCTTGCTTTCTCCTCCCCGTTCCTCGCCTCTCTTCCGCGGCTTCTGCTGCCGCGCGCTCTCTTCTTCTCCCGGCTCCGTGGCCTCTCCCGCTCCTCTCGCCCGTCGCTCCCCCTTCGTCGCTCCCCCTTCCTGCCGTCGTTCCCTTGTCGTCGTCGTCGTCGTTGCTGGGGTGTGGCAGGAGAAACGTCAGCATGCGAGTGCTCTGGGGCGGCAGCTGCACCGCCGTCGTTCGCCCTTCCCCCCCCCTCCCCCTCCCTCCGCCCTCCCCCCGAGACGGGTGCAGCGCCGGCTTCTGTTCGCCCCTGCGCGGCCGCTGACAGAATTGTCGGATCGGGCATCCCCAGGTGGCCCGCTGACGGGGCGCCCGTGCGGCCGATCCCTGCCGCTCCCCCCATGCCGGGGGATGCGTGGGAGCCGCGGGTGCAATCGTGAAGTGTATGGCGCAGTTCCTCCAGAACTCCAGCAGAGAGGCGGATGCGAACGCTGCTTAGATACCGCTTGAAGACATTCGATGTGGTGTTCCTTGCGAGGCGTGTGAGGTGAGGTGAGGAGCGAAGTCCGAGGATCGAGGAGAACCCAGGTTCGAGATGGTTCGAGGAGGACTGAGACGCCGATGGTGTCTCGAAGGGGGACTTGAGGATTTAGCCTGGAGCTGAAGACGCGCACGGCTGAACTCGTACGCGCAAGGGAGGGAGGTGTGCGAGAGGCTGAGGAGGCCGAGGAGGAGGAGGCCTGTGACTCCGAACTGCGAATCACAGGCCATTGCCAGGGCTCAAACTGATTTCTCCCGCAGATGAATGATAAATGAATCAAGTGGAACGCCTAGAACTCTAGAACTGATCGAAAAACTAGTGGACGGTGAAATCGGTCTAGAACTCTGATAACTGATCACTGGAACTCTGATACATGAATCAAGTGGACGTTGACGTTTGTCCAGAACTCCTCATCCTCCTCCTCCTCCTCCTCCTGCTCCTCCTCCTTCTCCTCCTCCTCCTCCGCTTCCTCCCCCCCTCCTAGCCCTTTCGATCAGGGTCGGCGGCACCGGCCGTCTGGCTTCTCCAATCAAGTGGACGCTGACGTGTGTCCAGACCTCCAGAAAGAATCGAACAATCTGTGGACGGTGGAATCTGTCTAGAACTCTGATAACTGATCACTGGAACTCTGATGAATGAATCAAGTGGACGTTGACGTTTGTCCAGGACTCCAGAAAGAATCGAACAACTAAAGATTATGCCATCCTTTTCTCTGTTAGAGCAGGCGGCGGCGGCTGCCGCCCGGGATCCAGCTCGGGTGACCCCCCTGTGGGGCCCGCAGCGGGCACCCGCAGACCGAGAGCAGGGAGAGTTCGGTGGCCACTCGAGGGAGCCACCCACACCGCGTGTCGGCTCTTGCTACACCGATGCTACATCGACGCTACATCTTGAAGGTCGCTGGGGGGGCAGCGTTGTTTCCAGGGCCGGATCCCCGTACGCTCGGCGGGCGCGCTCGATCGGTCAACAGCAATCCTTGCAGCCGCCCTTCGCGAGAAGCTCTGATTTCATGTTTGCTCTTGCCGACGATCGGGCTGCTCATGCTTGCTCTTGCCTACAAAAGCATTGCCCTCTCCCCCGTCGCCCCAGAACCACAGATCGCGTTCGCTACCCCTCAGCGAGCTTCAAGCTACATCGACGCTCATCAACGCTGCATCGACGCTACATCGACGCTGCATCGACGCTACATCGACACTGAATCGGCGCTACCTCATCGGCTCCCAGACGCGGATCGACGCACATCGACGCTGAAGACGGAGTTCAGAGGATACTGTAGGCTCCCGCGGCTTGCCGCCGACAGGCGGCACTGCCGGGACGGAGCAAACCAGACCGTGGGAGGTCTACGCAAAAAAAAAGGGCGCCCCCTGCGCGGGGACGGCTCGCGGGCCGGGCCGCGCGGCAGCGCTGGGGGCCGTGCCGGCGAGGCGGGCGGCCCTCGGACAAAAAAAAAAAAAAACAAAAAAAACGCCGCCTCCTCCGAGGCCCTGCGTCGGGGGCGCGCAGGCGTGGAGTCGCGATCCGTGGACTTGGCGCGCGGCTGACGCGTCCATGGATCGGGGGAGGTGCCCTCCCTATAAGAACGGTTTTTTGAAGGCAGATCTGCCTTCAAAAAACCGTTCTTACAGAGTGCGGCCGGTGCCGCCACGCTCGGCGGCGGGAGCCCGCGATGTCCCACGGCAGCGGGGCCCGCCGCTGATCCACGCGCCCTTGATCCACGGTTGCGATCGCCTGGCTGCGGGCTCCTCCGAGTCCCAGGGGCCGCCCCGTGGCCGGTGGCCCCGAAGGGACTGCCTGCTCCCTCTGCGCCCCGGAGCAGCTGACCTCGGCGGCCCCACGCGGGGGTCGCGACACGTGGGCATGGCCTCGCCAGGCAAAAGTTGGGTGCTCGTGTGGGGGCCTTCCTGAGCCACGCACTCCTCGCGTGCGTCGAGCGTCCGTCGACTCGAGTCGAACTTGGAGTCGAATTCGAGTCGACCTGGAGTCCAGCTGGGGCCGGACTGGAGTCGAACTAGAGCCGATCAGATGCGTTGGGTGGGTCCCAGGAAGGTCCCCAGAAGGAGCACCTAGCAGAGCTCCCCGCCCGCTGACCTGTGCACCTCCACCTGCCCTGACGCGGGGCGCGCTGTCCTGATCTGTCCGCGTCGTAGAACTCGAACAGGCCCTTGATGACCTGGTTCCGCCTCGCGGCCTCCCCGTCCGCCTCGGCCGCGAGAACGGGGAGGAGCCCGGGAACTCTGCTCATTGCCTCTCGCTGGCCCGACACGCGGCGCCACTGGCGGCCCATCGAGGAGCAGCAGCACGGCAAGCTCGTGCCGTGACGACGCCGGCGTGGGCTCCCGACAGTGCGAGGATCGTCCAACCTGGAGCGAGCGCGGCTCTCCGAAAGCGCGTGTGGTTCGGCACCTGCCGATTCTAAGCCACCAGCTTAGCTGCCCCGATACGCCACACGCAACACGCAGCGTATTGATACGGAGCTCAACACGTAGACTGAACACGCACGTTTTGAACACGGACGTTTTGAACACGGCACATGTTACGTTCCAAGACGTGCGTATCAGAGCAGCTAAGGCCACCAGGGACGTTCAACGTTGCACGCCCGCGCTGGGGCCGCCGCCGCGCCGGCCAGGCACGAACCTACACGGTGCGCGGGGCAACAGCGGCCCGCTCCTGCTTCGGGGATCTTCTGACCCGGGTCAATCCAGACCCCCGTTTGCATTGACCCCCGTTTGCATTGACCCCCGTCTCTTGGCTCCCGACTGCTCCTCGAAATATTAGGCCCGGAGGTGGAGGCGGCCTGGGGGCCTGAGCGGGTTGCGGCTCCAGAACAATTGGTCGGGCAGCGGGGACGGAGCCACTTCGCCCCGGACCAATTTTTCACGATCGCGGGGCCCGAAGACGGCCCCCGGAGGTCCAGAAAAGTAAAAACAAAAACAAAAAAACTCCGAACCCAGACCTCGAACCTGCCCGCCCCTCCTGGCTTGCCGGAACCGATGCTGGGCCGCCTCGGATCCCCAGACGGCTCCAAGCCTGGAGATCGAGGACGAGGAACAGCATGAGGAACGCAAGAGGCACGACGTCGGCGGCCGGGTACCATGAGAGTCATGGGGGTTGTGACCCCCCCCCCCGGAGGGGAGCACCCCTCCCTTGGGGAAGCTTCCGGCTCCAGAGCATCAGCGTCGTCGTCATCACCGTCGCCGTCGTCGGCGTCCCCTTTCAGGGTCGGCGGCACCGACCGTAAGGCCTTCGCAAAGATCGCAAACGAAAGAGGCGCGGCGTCGGAGGTCTGGGACCGCTGAGGGGCGCCCCGCACGAGCGACGCTGGGCAAGGGTGACCTTTGGTGCGCGGCTTTTCGAGGGCCGCGGGGGGACCACACGCAAGCGTGCAAGACGCTAACAGTCAACCCGTGTGATGAGGACGCACGCGAAGGACGCAAGGGCCTCGGAAGGCCATGCCGACACTCTGCGAGCGGGGCGCGGCCAGCGAAAGCGGCCAAGGCTGGGCCGAAAGGGGAAGGATACAAGGACGGCCTTGGACAGTTGCTCATCCTTACAATGCGGGCTGACTGTACATAGACAAGCGCGTTCCACTACTCGCAAACTAACTACTCGCAAATGGCTCGGATCCACCGCCGGGGATTTACGGCCCATTGCACCGAGGAAGACATGTGTGTGCGCTTGTTTCTGATGTTTGCGAGTACTTTGGCACTTTGCGAGCAGTGGAGCGAGCTCGGTGAGCACCTGATTATCGCACCGCACTCGGCGATCGGGGGGCCACAGTGGGCGCCCACCAGACGTCCCTCCGGGCGAAGGGTCACTCTCACCTGTGGTGGGCCCGAGAGCCCTGGGTCACCTGCCCCTCCGAGCACCACGCCCGCCGACGCGCGGCGCGCGGCCCTCTCCCCGCCCTCGCGAGGCCGCCTTGACGAAGGATAGCCTCGCACACACACTTTTTTTTTTTACTAGCTCGAGAGGTCGCCCCGCGGCTACGGAGGAAGAGGAGAGCAGAAGGGGGAGGGGGGAGAGGAAGGGAGGAAGCAGCAGCAGAAGCAGCAGCAAACGCAGAAGGAGGCGCGCCCGCCCGCGCACGGACCGGCGGGCCCCCGCCTCAGCCGGGCTGCGGCTTTGCGCAGCCCGGCGCCGCGCCCCCGCGGCTAGGCTGCGGCGCCCAGGAGCTAGGCGAGCTCGAGGAGCTGCGGCGCGGCCAGGCGCGCCACCTGCCGCGACACCCGGCCACGGGCCGCAGGCAGGCGCCGGCCCTCGGGCAGGCCGAGGTGGCGTGCGGCGACCCGGACCGGCGTCCAGCCGCGCTGGAGGAGGTCGCACACCTCCTCGCGCAGCGCCTCCGCGGCCTCCGCGGCGGCCGCGGCCCGGGCCGCCGCCTGAGCGGCCGCCGCAGCGCGGGCCGCCGCCTCCGCGCGCGCCGCCGCCGCGGCCCCTGTGGCGGCTCCGGCGACCGCGCCGCCAGCCCGCGTGTCCCCCGCGGGCAGGGTCGTCGCCGGCGGGGCGTAGAGCCCGGCGGCCTCCTCCGCAGCCAGGTCAGCCCAGAGCCGCCGCTTCGCCGGCTCCGCTCCCGGCACGGCCGCCCCCGAGGCCAGCGGGGCCGCCGGTGGAGCCCCAACTCCAGGCGCTGCCGCCGCGGGCGGAGCGGCCGTTGGAGCCCCCGCTCCCGGCGCTGCCGCCGCAGGCGGAGCTGCCGTCGGAGCACCCGCTCCCGGCGCTGCCGCCGCCGCAGGCGGAGCCGCCGTCGGAGCTCCCGCGGCGGGGGCCGCCTGGTCCCGCGCCCGCGGCGGGGTGGCGACGGCGGCAGCCGCGGCGCGCCCCTGCTCAGCCGGGGCAGGGGAGCCTGAAGCGCCAGCCTCGCCCGGCTGGCCTGCGAGCTGCGCCCAGTCGAGCCCGTCGTACTCGCGCTCGATGGGGTGCTTGCCTGCGTCTAGCGGGAGCGCCGGCGGCCCTCCCGTCGGAGAAGGCCGGCAGCCACCGCCTCGGCCAGGACGCCAGCCGCGACCCCCTCGGCCGCGAAGCCCCAGCCGCTCGCCCTGAGCGCCGCCGCCACCGCCTCCGCGGGGGGCGCTGCCTGCGGGTCCCTCGGGCCCTTCGCCCGCGGCGCGCTGCCCGCGCCGCCGGCCGCCGCGGCGGCCGCGCCGCCGCCGGACCCTGCTCCTGGCGCTGCCGCTGCCTGCGGAGCTGCCGGTGGAGCCCCAGCTCCCGGCGCTGCCGCCGCAGTCGGAGCCGCCGTCGGGGCCCCTGCTCCTGGCGCTGCCGCCGTGGGCGGAGCTGCCGTCGGAGCCCCTGCTCCCAGCGCTGCCGCCGTGGGCGGAGCCGTCGCGGGAGTCCGCGCCGCCGCCCCCGGGGAGCCGCTCCCGGAGCCGCTCGTGGAGTCGCTGGAGCTGCTGCCGCGGCTGGCCGGGGCAGCCACCGCCGCCGCCGCCGCGCCCGGCCCTGCGAGAAGCGTCCCGTCCGCGGGGAGCTCCTGCTCGCGGCTCCGGCCGGCCGCCCGCGCGGGGGAGCTGCTGGAGCCGCCGCCGCGGGGTCGCCGGCCCGGGGGGCTCGCTGGCCGCCCGGCGCCCGCCGCGGGGCAGCTCGTGGCCGCTGCCTCGGCGGGCTCCGGTGTGTCCGCCCTGCCCGGAGGGGCTGGGGAGCGGCCGCGCGTGCGGCTGCTCCGGCGGGTGCGGCGCCGGCGGGTGGCCCGCTCGCTCGGGCTGCGCTCCCGGTGCGGGCGCCTGCGCCGGCGCCGCGGCTCCCGGGCGCTGGGGCTGCTGCTCGAGCGTGCCCTGCGCCGGCGCAAGCGGCGCCCAGTAGCCCGCGTCGCCGGCCCCTGCCCAGCCCGCGGGCTGCGGGCGCGCGCGGGCGCCGCGGCGCGGCCGGGCCCAGGGGGCGCCGTCGTCGGCGCCTCCCTCCCGCGCAGGAGCGCCGCCTCCCGCCGGGGGGGGGTCACCGGGGCCGGCCGCAGCGTCGCCCTCGGCGCCGTCGCCGGCGCCCCCGCGGGAGCCGGCCTCGAGCCCGGCCGGGCCTTCGCCGGAGGGGGCGGCGAGGGTGCCCTCTGCGGGGCCCGCACCCGCACCCACGGGGTCCGCATCGGCGCTGCCGAGGGGGCCCTCGGAGCTGCCGCCTGCGGCCCAGGTGCCGGGTGCCACGGGCACTCCCCCACACGCTCCCGGCGCGACTGGGGTAGCGTGGACCCGCCAGCCCCAGCCCGCGGCACGTCTGCCCGCCCAGTTGCCACGAGACGGCATGGCTGCCCGGGTGCATGCGCCGCCCCGCGGCGCCCGCAGCCCGGCCAAAACAGCTGGTGGGCCCTCGAGCCCACGGCCGCGGCAAGCTCCCAACCCCCCCCACAGGGGTTGGGAACTTGAGCCAAAATGGCTTGAGCCAAAATGGCTACGGATAGGCTCGCACACACACACACACACAAACACGCACACAGACACAGACACAGACACAGACACACACACACACACACACACACACACACACACACACACACACACACACACACATACACACACACACACACACACACACACACACACATACCACGGGCTCGTGTCGCGCCGACTTCGGCATTGGCTCCTGACTCCGCGGGGATCGTTCCACCTCGAACGATCGGCTGTTTCCGAAACACCCGGTGGTTCAACATCGACCGAGGTGGTTCAACATCGACCGATTCTGGGTCGCAGGCGGAGCTCGACCTTGAACGCCGGCGGCGGGGTCGCAGCGAGTCGACACGACGCCAACCTGCCGTCAGCGTCCGGAAGACGGCGTGGACTTCTCGGATCGGCGCTGGAGCCCTCCCTGCCTGGCGCGCGGAGCGCGCCCGAGTTGGCGCTGGAGGCGCCGCGAGGGGGTCCAGCGAAGACCCAAGAGATCCGCGCGGACCTCCGAAAGTGTATGCCTTCTGCAGTTCCGAGAGATGACGTCCATCCCTTCTGGTTGGTGATCTGATCGAGCCGAGGGGTCGGCCCGTTGAGCCGACCCTTTGCAAACTAGCGGGTCAGGAGCCCCCGCGAGCTTGCTGCGCAGTGGTCCGTAGCACCTGGGCCCGAGAGGAGCGGAGTTGGAGTTGCAGGTGCCGCCAGGCTGAGGCAGCCGCGGAGCATTCTCAGGTGCTGAAGCCACACTCCCACACCCGAACCTTGGGAGCGGCCAAGAGGGGGGTGTTCAAGAGGGGGGGGGGCAAATCATGACCGGCGGCACGTGCGC